TTCTGCACATCCAATGTCCTTCCAGACAAAGCCATGGTGGCAGGGCCAAGGCAGAGGCAGTTATAGGCGATCAGGCCAGTACATGAGCAGTTAGGGGATGGTCAGGTCGGCGGGGGAGGGGGGGGGCGGTTAGGAGGAATCCAATCCAGCAGGGAGGCATGTAGGGCGCAACCACCAGGCCAGCAGGGGACCAGTTAGGGAGTGATCAGGCTGGCAAACAGAACCAGTTAGGGGCAATCAGGCAGACAGGCAAGAGAGCTTTTAGGAGCCAGGGGTTCCAGATTGAAGAGCATGCAGGTTGGGCTGAGGGAGCCCCCTTCCATGCACAAATTTTGTGCACTGGGCCTTTAGTATACTATAATTGCTCATATAGTTTATATTATCATGTAAGTTTTTAATTAATGGGTGTTATTAACATTCTAAAACAGATGCTTGCTTCCACACATAAAGAAAAACCGCAGTACTGAATGATACGAAAGAAAAAAACAAGTTACTGATATCAATCAAGATCACAATAAGTATAGAGGCTAAAATCTCAGTTTATTGCTAGTGGAATCAGAAATATTTATTAACATTATCAATGCATTGAGTTAGAGAAGATACATCCAGGGCATTCTGTGGATGGTCCTGTTCTTATATTTTTTAAATTTACTGTCATATAAATTTATGATAGTTTTTTTTTTTTTTTTTAATGTGCTGACTCAGGCAGAACTACAAGGAAGGAAATGAGGGCAGGAAGGCAGCAAGCTTTTTTTTTTTTTTTTTTAAACACACATACCTCTGGCCTAGTTATTCAATCAAGGGCTAAACTACTTGGTGCTGTGAGGAGACAGCAGATGTAACTAAAGTTCCTTATTTTGACTGTGAGCTAAAGAAACTCTCAAGTCCTGATTTCATCAGTGAAAGCCCTTTAAGGAAAGGCATAGACAATCCTTGAACAAATCTGCAAACATCAAATGGGCCTGTTTTGCTCCAAAAATACCTCACTGAGAGTGACAAATGCTTTGTCCCATGACCATTGGGTTTCAGCCTGCTGGTGATTTCTCTTCCTGACTTACTCTGCCATAGATCTCATACATTTCTTTGTAATAAAGATGTACATGGATCCATATTACTGGTTCTGCTTCTGTGGTTGAGCCTTGATTGACAACACTGATAGATCCTTCTTCACTGCTGTGACAGTCTTGACCATAAATCTTGTGGCCCATTGACAAAGAACTCTTGTCTGGGAACTATTAGGCCCTGCCCAGTGTGGCTCAGTTGGTTGGGCATCATTCATGCACCAATAGGCTTCTGATTTGATTCACAGATGTGCCTGGGTTTCTGGGTCAGTACCAGGTAAGAGTTGTGTAGGAACCAAGTAAGAGATGGTTCTCTCTCTCCCTCTCTGCCTTCCTCTCTTCCTGAAAACCAATAAAAAAAAACACACAAAAATATTAGATAGCCCCTCCCTTTATTTCATTTTCATATAAAAACATATAGATATAGCATACCAAGAAAAATACAGTCAGAGCTTCCTCTTAATTTTCAGGTTCTGTAGTTGCAAATTAGTTTATTCACTAAAATGTATTTGTAATCCTAAAACTAATACTCATGATGTTTTCCTGGCCATTCTTGGACTTGCACTGAGAAGGAGAAATTTGAGTCCTGCCAGCTGAATATTCCAAGTAGAGTTTGAATAAAGAGAAGCTAATACAGTAAGTGTCTTTTCCATGGTCTATTATGCCAGGTTTTTGGCATTTTGATGCTATTTGTTGATGACACCATTGTTTAAAATGACTCCCAGCCTTAGTACCAAAGCATTAGCTATGACTGAGGATATAATCTGTCTGTTAGTTAAGTATCCTTAATGAATGAGCTCTAGGTGGCCATGAATTCAATATTACCACATATATAATATATATTAACTAAGATGTCTTTAAACTGAGGTTATGTACTAGCTGATGGATGAGCATGCTATGACCAGAGGCTGGAAGGAGACTAACTCTGCATTTCCACAGGGAATAATGCTTCAGTACTTACTAGTAAAGTGTCTGTGTCACTTTGTAGAACATGAATGGGATTTACTATGTGTGTAATATCTGTCACTTTAAAAAGGAAGTAATTTGTTTTTAGAATGCAATGAAGAATCAATACTTATAGATAATAAACATAATAAATTACCCAATAGAAAAATGAACAATTTTATAAAGTGCTTATTTATAGTGAAGAAAAAGAACAAATAAACAGGAAAAGGTGATAACTCTTATTAACAATGGGTAGAAAGAAAGTCAAATCAAATAATTATTTTTCATGCATGAGATTGACAAAACATTTGTAAATTTGATAACTTTTTGAGAGTATTGGATAATTAGTGATTTCTCTTAGAAGTTGGACAGGGAAAGTATTAGGATTTTTAGGGAGTGTTCCCTATTGATCTATCCCAGGAAATGTCTTGTGATATAGATAGATTAGACTGCCGGAGGGGAGAAGACTTTTTTTCTGCCAAGGGTCATTTGCATATTTATAACATCATTTGAGGGCTATACAAAATTATCAACTTAAAAATTATCCTGCTGTACTTGGTCAAATATTTAAATTACTCATCCCTAGTGCCTTGGCAGGATCAGACAGAATGCTTTTGGGGCCTTATATGGACCTCGGGCAGGACTTTCCCCAACTGTGGATTAGAGGATCACTTTAAGAAATGCCTGCCACTCACACAAATACTTAATAAATATTATTAAAGGAAACTTATGTAATTGTTGAGTATCTGTCTATTATGATAGCATTTATGTTTTAGATGTATCATTCAGAGAGTTGTTTTTAGAAACAAAGCTGGATTTTAATTAATGGGCCCAAATTGAGTTGTTAATAGATCATGAACTCCTATTGTCCTCTTGCTAAACACCTGAGTTACAATCTAAAGAGGTGGGTGTGGACCTAGTAGGTGTTCTCAGTGGTTAGAGCAAAGGTCTTGGGACCAAAGGGTCTCCTGTTCTATTAAGGTTAAGGAGCTTATCTCAGTTGCAGTGTGGGCCTAGTTAGGTGCATGCAGGAAGCAGCCAATTAAAGTGTCTCTCTCACATCACTGTGTCTCTCTGTGTGTCTCTCCCCTTCCCTTCTACTCTCTTTAAAATTCAATGGGAAAAAAATATCCTCTGGTGAGGATTAACTAAATAATCTAATCCAATAATCTAATCCTGAGGGCTGTGATAGAGCGTCGGTCTGCAGATTGAAAGGTCCCAGTAGGGGGTGTGCAAGGAGCAGCTGATCAATGATTCTCTCTCATTGATGTTTCTAGCTCTCTAACCCTCTCTCGTCCTCTCTGTAAAAAATCAATAAAATATTTTAAAAAAAGAAACATGCAAATAGACTATACCTCCTCTATGCCCACCAGTCAATAAGAGCCAGTATACAAATTATCCAGCAAATATGACAGGGGCCATGGAGCTGGAATGAGCAGGAGGCTTGAGTTGCCCCTGGCTTGGTGGAAGCAAAGCTCTCGCCCACCTGCCCTGGCTGGCTCTGGCCTATGCTCAAGGCTACAAAGTTTCAATTACATCTCCTTGAATTATGAAAAAGTTCCTGTAAACTCTGATTGGACTCTGAATTTAATTGACAATTCTGATCTTTTTACTTTTTTTCCTTATTCAGAAATGAAGTCACCCTAGCTGGTTTGGCTTTATGGATAGAGTGTTGGCCTGTGGTATGATGGTCCTGGGTTTGATTCTGGTCAAGGGCATGAGCATGAGGCAACCAATCAATGGGTTTCTCTCACATCCATGATTCTCTCTGTGTGTCTCACCCACTCCCTTCCTCCCTTTCTGAAAATCAATGGAAAAATATCCTGGGGTGAGGATTAAGGAAACAAAACAAAATAAAAGCTGCTTCCAAGATAAAGAAAAGAAAAGAAAAGAAGAAAAGTCAACTCCTAGTACTGTGAAAGTAAAGTTTGTAGATGCAAATGCTTAAGTATATTTTAGGTTAAAAATAATCTATTTTTTATTTAAAAAAACAAGAAAAATGTTTAAACTTTTAGCTTATATTTTTATACCAGAAATATGGATTATAGAGCATTATAGAGAATAATACTTATAAAACATTCACTTTATTGTTTAGTGAAAATATATGTATATTTTAAACAATATGTCAGTTTAGAGTTTGTATAAACAGAAGTTAATTTAATCCTCAAGAATTCAGAAAAGACCAATTTTTTTCATAATTTCTTTTCTGATGAATCTCAATTGGTTCAATTTGTGCTTTGTTTGTTTCCTTATTTGTTTGTTTTAAAGGAGAGAGCTAGGCCGAAACTGGTTTGGCTCAATGGATAGAGCGTTGGCTTGGGGACTGAGAGGTCCCAGGTTTGATTCCGGTCAAGGGCATGTACCTTGGTTGCGGGCATATCCCATATAGGGGGTGTGCAAGAGGCAGCTGATCGATGACTCTCATCGATGTTTCTAGCTCTCTATCTCTCTCCCTTCCTCTCTGTACAAAATCAATAAAAACATATTTTAAAAATGTTTAAAGGAGAGAGCTAGGTTTCCTTGACCCTCTCTCTGAAGTCATTTCATAGAACCATTCTGGCCATCTTTCTCTCAGATTTATTGGCTAAATACATTTGTGGGGTAAATCTCACACTTCCATACTCACTAACTAGTTATTGAAAAGAGAAATCGGGCAATTCTGATTGATTTAAAACAATTAAGACCAATAATAAAATGCTATATCCCACATTCTGGAAATGGATACTTGCATACATTTGTATTTGGATAAAGACTAGGAACTGAATGTGTAGGATTATGTGAGCCATCTAGTGAGAACCATGTTTGCGGTAAAAGCCCAAGGACACTTTCTGTGGTCCAGATTTTCATCTGTGTCATGGAATAATTAGGTTATCTTGCTTTAGTGAGTATTGCAAAGAGAAAAAAAATATGGACATCACTACCCTCATATAACTGTTCAGAAGCCTCTCACCAACCCATGCCAAGAAATGACCTGTTGCTAATTCTTCCAGAAATATGGATCGCATCTTGCAGATCTTCCAGAATGACCTCACCTGCTCCATCTGCAGGAACTACTTCATAGACCCCATCACCACAGACTGTGGGCACAGCTTTTGCAGGACCTGTCTCTACCACAACTGGCCAAACATGTCAGTTCTTTCTCACTGCTCTGAATGCCAGAAAGCAATCCAGCAGACAGACTTTCACACAAATGTCCGTCTCAATCAAATGGTTCTCACTGTCAAACAAGGCAGTCTGTGGCATTCTCTCTGGTCTACAGAGAATAGGTGTAGGATACACATGGAGGCAAAGCAGATCTTCTGTGAGGACCAGAGGAGCTTGCTCTGTATAAACTGCTCTATCTCCCAGGAGCATGGGGCTCACAGACACTGTTCAATAGGAGAGGCGGCTGAGCAACACAGGGTAAGTGATCCCTTCTGTAAAGTGGGTATGAAATTCCTGTGGGTCTGTTTCCTTGGGATGGGATTACTCCATCCAGGTGTTTCTTTCAGAATCTCTGTCCTGGAATTCCTTAGTGTGAAGCCTCCCAGATTTCACAAATATGTGATGTAAACGAGGCAACTCTTTGATTCTCTTGTTTTCAGTGGCTCAGATCTATCACTCATCCTGGCGGCCCTCCCAATGTTCATTCTCCTCTTCATTGGCTCTAATTGACTTTTGTTGTTCTTTGCAGGAGAAACTCCTCGAGACAATGTGCTCTTTATGGGAGAAATGTTGTGAAAATTACAGAAACCTGATTGTGGAAATTGTCACAACCAAATCTTGGGTGGTTGGTATTTGCATTCAACCTGCAGCATGAACATGGGGTGGTTGGATGAATGACTTCAAAATAGGATCTTCCTTTGACATGATAGTGTTCTTTGGGATTCAATATGAGAAGTGTGATCAATAGGAAAAGAGTGTTTTCCCTCCATAGATAAATAGTTGGGCTCTTAGTCAGGGTTTCTAACAAAATGATAGCTGTCATACGAAGCATGTAGGTTTGTTCCCTGGATAAATAATGGTTATCACTTGTATACCAATAATCACAACATACTGGGCCATTTCACAGAGTGCCATGTGTGGAGGGATGGGGTAAATACTGGGCCGAGGAGATGTTTGGCAGCCATTGAAAATTCCGGACAAGCATCTGAGGCAGTATAATCATTGATGTAGAAAAGTAATATTTGAAAACAGATTGAAAATTTCAGGAAAAAAGAACATTGTCACCAATCCAGGGAAACTCTGAACTTATCCTAAGTAATTAACTTTGAATCTCTCTCTCTCTCTCTCTCTCTCTCTCTCTCTCTCTCTCTCTCTATATATATATATATATATATATATATATATATATATATATATATATATATATGCCTAAGCAACCAAATGACAGTAGGACACATATACTGGTCACTATGACGTGCACTGACCACCAGGGGGCAGATGCTCAACACAGGATCTCTCCCTGGTGTTCAGTGCACTGCTACCATCAATCCCCCACAGCCCGCTAACCTCCTGTTTTTTCCCCCTGGCAGGCTGGCCCACCTGATCAGCCCCAATTGGGGAGGAATCTGGCCAGTCAACCTCCCATGGCCCCTCCCCTTGGATAGCCACCCAACCTCCCACAGTTTCTCCCCCTGGCCAGCAAGCCAACATCCTGTGGACCCTATCCCCAAGTGGCCTACCACATGCAGTTCCTATCCCTGATTGGTCAGCCCCCCTCCATTGGCTCCATTGGCCCTCAGTCAGGGTTTCTCACAAAATGACAACTGTCACACAAAGCATGCTGGTTTGTTACCAGGATTAACAAACAACTTCCCAGCCAACCTCCCATAGTCCCTTCCAATTGCTAGGCAACTCCTCCAATAAGCCTGATCACCAGCCAAGCCAAGGGACCCTACCTGTGCATGCATTTGCCTCTAGTAATATATATGATGTATGAGGAGAAAGTTGATGAGAGATGAGAAATACATATAAAAATACCAAATACAAACCTTGGCATCTAAATAGAAGAAGATGTTTCAACATGTTAGGGAAATTTAAAAATAAAGGATTTCCTCAATCTGGATGGTTATCTTGAAGGTGTGGTATCTAATATGAATCTACTCAGCACATATTTCATAAGCACTGTATCAAATAATGATCTAGAAAATAGAGCAGTAAGCAAAGTAGAAACTATCCTTCCCCTGATAAAGCTTACAATCTAAATCAAAGGGCAAAGTGTAAGTGATAAGTTCTTTGTAGAATAATATGTAAGTGATAAGTTCTTTGTAGAATAATAAAGAGTAAGGAGAAAGAGGAGTATGGGAGGATAGGGACTGCAGATGAGGATTTGAGTTCTGAATAGGATTGATCATTAGAGAAGACCTCACTGAAAATATCACCTATAAAAAAGATCTCTGAAGGGGAAGGCAACCATAGGAGTATGTAGAGAGAGCATTCTAGATGGAGAAAATAGCAGGTATTGCAGGCAGGTTTTTTGGGGGCAGTTGAAAACCACAAAGATCTGAGTGAATTAGGAAGAGAATGAAAGGAAATAAAATCAGAGATAATGGGTGTCAGATTGTCAATGAAACCTGCTCAGGATAGCATTAAGCTGGATGAAATGAAGGGACTGAGCATATCACTGAGGTTATAGCATGTAAAATATGTTGAAGCAATCTGATCCTAATTTCAGTAATCAGGCTAAATAAAGGATCCCTTATCCAATTAATATAAATTTAAACTGCATGTTTTATAAATGAACTGTGTTGCCTTCTCACACATATTGGCTGGGATGTTGAAATCACACATTTGTTTTTCTTTGCGCTCATCTTATCAAAAGATTGTTTATGAGTGAAGTGGATAGAATTGGTTGATTAAAAATTATGGAAAAGAGGAATGAAAACATGTGGATTCTGAGACTAGACAAGACTGAGAGTTAAAGCTTAAATATAACTGATCTTTTTAAGGCAAAGAAGAATACATGAGATTTATTAGGAGATGGATGAAAGGGTTTATGTTTTTACTAACTCCATGTCTTTGCAGATTTATGTGACCTCACAGGGGGAAGCGATCAGAGCTACATATGATGAGTTGGCTCCAATTGAATCTCTGGAAAAGCATAATCATTTAGAGAGACTGCAAAGGGAAGGCAAGGAGATTTTTGACCAACTCAGGGACAGTGAAGTCAGCATGACAAACAAGAGGGAGCTTTTAAGAGGAATGTATGCAGAGCTGAAGGAAATGTACTATAAACCAGATGTACAGCTGCTCCTGGTAAGAACTCAGAAGTGGGGTGTTGAACATTCAAGTGTACTGGCATTCCTTCAGTGGAAATTCATCTCTTTTATGTCATTTCTTTCTAACAACCTATTTCCATAACCTCAGTTACTTTATGGGGAGGGTATTGCTCCTGGATGGAACCCCACAAACCAAAGATCCCTCCTACATTATCCATAAGAAATAAAACTCTGTGAGATGGTGAAAGAATCCTGAGTTAGATTCCCTTTCTAAAAGTGATATATTTTGGCTTTGTGAAAGGCACAAAATGGTATGTATTAGTATTAAGGCTAATTATAGACATGGCAATATGGGGAGATTTTGGAATCTCCACTTGCATTGCTGTCATTTTTGGGTGCACCCACATTGGAAATAGAAAAGTTGCTGGATACTTAATCATGGTTACAGCAGCACACAGGGACTCCCCTGCCCTCTTCCCCTTTCACTGGCCCATGGAAAGTCTCCAGCAGAACATGAGTTTATGACAATATGGTAAACTGGGAAGAGAAAATAGATAGGTTTCCTAGGATGAAACAGAGTAGGGAAATAATAACTCCTGGAACTACCTTAAAATTTCTGGAGGAATGCAGCAAAAATAAATAAGAGGAAGAGCAAAAAATAAAATAAGAGAAAAAACTAAATGAAAAAAATAATCTCCCATGGACCTAGTTGAAAAGTCATTGGTAAAAAGCACTAAACCTTTCTATTTTTCTCCACAGGATTTTGGAGACATATTGAACAGGTGAGTCTGTACCTTGATACCAGCTGATGCTCTTTCAGAGTTTTCACAGAAAACAGGCAGGATATGCTAAAGTGAAGGCAGAACTTATTGGGATCTTGATAGAATTTTTTGCCCCTATCTTTTTTTTTTTTTTTTTCTTCCCAACTCCTTGTATTATAGATGTCTGTTTGCATTGCCATACTGAGTGATTTCATTCTGTTGTTTCAATGGACAAATTGAAAAAATAATCCAAAAGACTCCAAAATACTGACTAAAGGAAACACTCTCACTTCCAATTTCCTTATTAGTTCTCAAAATCCTACACATATGAAGGAGAAGCTGCTAGGTTTTCTGAGTGATGAGAAAGTCAAATACCTTAGAGGCAGAGCTAGTGGAATCTGGGGTGAGAGGCTAAGGAAATGCCCAGCAGTGAGAAAGCCCAGGCGATTTATTGATTTATTCATAGCAGTTGACAGTTCTGAAAAACAGATGAAAAAATTTTCTAAGTCTGAGAATGATGTGAGGCCCCTTGAGCCCCTCTCCCCGGGAAGTGTATTGCCCTCCTAGGAAAAGTCTCACAGCCTCTATGTTGAGAGTGTGCACTAGGCCAACTAGTCTTCAGAGAACCCCTATCATTTCCAGATGGGAAGCATTTCAAAGGAATCCAGAATTTCCCTCTTGAATATTCTCAAGAACATAAGAGATTCAGGATCTTTACAAATTCCTGGACAACATGAAAAAGGGTTAGATTGAATTCTGGTTCAAATAGACTTTCCATTAGACTTGAAAATTAAGGAACTATGAAAAAGAAATATTTGGCAAAGTGATACTTTTGGGTTTTCAAATTAATGGATTTAAATAATTCTACTGAAGTATCTTATACATAAAAAATAGTGGTTTTGTTTGTTGACTGAGAACATGGTAACTTCCTCTTCCTTCTTGCAGGAGTGAGGCAGTGTGTGAGCACATGCCCCAGCCTGTGAAAGCAGAGCTCACTGCAGTGACCATCTCAGGGATGATGACAAGGTTCAACTTTTTCAAAGGTAAGTGCAGGCCTATGGGTCATATTCCCATTATGTATCTTGTGTTGTTAGGGCCATGCAGGTAATCTGTCCTCTTCTATTAAGTGGGTTACTATTTTCAGACATAAGTGGATCATTTGACTGTATAATTCTTTTGTAAGGGAAGATGTCTTTACAGTCACATTTATAATACCAAGAGTGAAAGGTAGTGAGAAACAGAAATATGATTCAGACTCATAAATAGTGAATTTCTTTTGAGTAAAGGAATGATGTCAGAAATGAATAGTTGAATAAATGGAACAATGTTCAGATTTAAGATTAATTATTCAATTTTATTATAGAACTGTACATTTATTCATATATAATTTTCAAATGCTAACAGCAGTTTTTTTGTGTGTGATATATAACATACTGGGTCATACTTGGTTTCTTTGTATTTTTTTATAATGGTCATATAATGTAAAAATTTGAATTAGTTTGTGTTAACAACGTAAAACCACACCAAAATTCAGTTTACTCATTATCTGAAGAGGTACATGTTAAATCTCAGAATGCTGACATCCCAAAGCCAGGACAGAAGGCAGAGAGACGGTGAAGGTTTTTGCAAACACCATTTTAAGAAACTCCTAAAATGGATATAAATTGAATTTTCATTAATTTATCTAGAGAGATGTTTGACTCATGGCAAATCTGCATATCCCTTCCATAATCAATGATGATATGATTATTTAAAAGAAATGTTCTTCTGATTCTAATTTTTTACGATGGAAGACAATTCAAAGAATATTATGCATTGGCCATTTTTCTATGAAAAGTGAACTTGGAGACATGAGTCTTTTGTTCTTAATCCTCACCCAAGGAGACATATACAACCTTATTTTTTATTGATTGAAGAGAGGCAGAGAGAGGAAGAATGAGATAGAAACATCAATGATAAGAGCCAAAGTTGGGTTGGCTCAGTGGATTGAGCATTGGACTGCAAACTCAAGGGTCCTGATTCTGGACAAGGGCATGTACCTTGGTTTCAGGCACATCCCCAGTGTGGGGTGTACAGGAGGCAGCTGGTTGATGTTCCTCTCTCATCAATGTTTCTGACTTTCTATCCTTCTCCCTTCCTCTCTGTAAAAACATCAACAAAATATATTTAAAAGAAAAGAAAAGAAAAGAAAAGAAACATCAATGTTGAGAGAGAATCAATGAGCAGCCTCCTGCATGTGCCCAACTGGGGATCAAATCCACAACCCATGTGCCCTGACCAGCAATGGAACCTTGACCTCCTGGTTCATATGTTGATAGTAAAACACTGAGCCATTTGGGCTGAGCTAAGGATATTTTTCCATTAATTTTTAGAGAAAGTGGAAGGGAGGAAGGAAGAGAGAGAGAGAAAGAGAGAAAGAGAATATGAGAGAGGGGGACAACAAATATCCAGACAAATACAGGTGCAGGGGATGGAACCTACAACTCGACAAGAATCAAACCCACTATCCTAAGTGCCAGAGCCTACCCTCTAGCCAGTGAGTCACACTGGCGTGGGTGTGATGAGTCTTAATCTTTGACCCTAAACATTTGAACTTCAAAAAATTCAAATGTTGAGATGTCTGTTCTTAGGGATCTGTTTGTTTTGCACATGTAATGGTCATCTGGGTGCTTTATTAGATGTGACAACCAACACTGCTGTTGTAGTTGTGACCTCATAATAAAGTAACTTCTTGATAGAGCAATATTTTCATCAGGACTTCTATTTGCAATGTGTCCACATGATTTTTTTTTTCTTTATGCAGAGATTTTCAGTTTGCATCTTGGAAAAACTCGCGCTCATGACTTCCTACAAGGAGATTTGATAAGCCTGGGTATTGGATGTGGTATTCAAGGTGTACCATTTATCTTTCCACAATCTGAGTGTTTTCTTTACTGGGGTGATATTTTTTTTACCCATGGGCAACATTACTGGGAGTTACAAATGAGAGATACTTGGAATTGGGCTTTAGGAGTCTGCTGTGAAGATTGGGTAGAGGGTAATAGAAACCTCCAGAAGGCATTCTATGTTCTTGGCTGTGCTAAAAACGACATGCACCACAGTGTCTTCACCACCTCCCCACCTGTACTGCAATATGTGCCCAAACCTACTGGCTTGGTTGGGGTATTCCTGGATTATGAAGGTGAAAGTGTGACCTTTGTAAATCCAGAGGAAAGTTCCCTTATATGTAGAATCTCCTCTTGCTCTTTCTCTCCCCATCTCAGGCCTATCTTTTGCTGTTGTCACTCCCGACTAGAAATACATTAGGCATCTCTATATATCCTGGGGATCACCAATATCTAAAGAAGCCCTTTTCCTGGTGCCCTATTAAATAAGACAAATATGTTATATGTTTTAGTTTTTAATTTTTTTTGTCCTGACTATCTATTAACTGTATGATTAAATAAGATAATCTTCAAAATATATGTATTGGTTTGTGCTTTAATCAGTTTAGGAAAATCCTCATTCATGAAGCATGGCATAAAATAAGTCCTCAGGTTTTTGCTTTATTTATGAACTGTCATGAGGAGGTATAATTACAGACACAGGTGTGTTTGCAGAGGTAAACCTCAATGCAAGAGGGCAGGCATACATGGTTGTAGAGACACAGTGGCAAAAATGCAAGACACACACTTGAGCAAGCCTGCACCAATGGCAATTTAGAAATAATTTTCTCATTTATCTTCAGCTAACTATAGTCTACATGTTCCTGTCTCAGTTTAATATTCCGTAGAGAAGTAACATTACTTAACAACCTGTGCTGTGCATTCTTTTGTAATTCTCACCACAGTGATGCATATTTCAGTGTTATTCGTATTCTCAAGATGAAAAATTCACAGGATGATCAGACCTGTACTCTCCTCATCTTCCTTAATATCGCCTTCTAGAGCTACATTCATTCATACACCATACTGTTTACATGTTAAGTACATAATACTATTATCATCATCTTCATAATCTCCATTTCATTCTCTGACTTTTCCTCTATTACTCTAGCTGTGAAACCTTGTCATTTTCCCATACCTATAATATAAGTCACCCTCTCTACAGCAGTGATTAACCTGTTGATTAAACTCTTCAACAAATATTTAGTCTTGGGGGAACTTGAGGGTCTGCTGAATCAAATGAGGAAGGCTTAGATCTGGATGTATTAAGTCAGTATAGCGCTGGGGTGTTGATCTGTGAGTGCCTTGTGTGGGGCCTGGATGAGGTTGGTTGATTATTTGGAAATGTCTTTTGTGTGAAGTGTATCCTTGGGCATGTGGAGGTATTATTGATTTGAGAAAATGCTAAGTAACTGATTTACTATCTGAAAAATTTAAAGTTCTGAAAGTTTAAGGTCTCCTGCCAAAAAGAGGTTTTAAAGCTAACACCTTAATTTTAATGGAGAAAGGGAATGACAAGCCCTTCCCACCCAGAACAGGTAATCCAATTCCAACCAGCAGCTATGTTTAAACAATGTGTCCATTTACACTTGAATGGCTACACCTTTTGATAGCCTAAGGGCAAGTTTACATGTAAACAAGTTTGCTCTCAATTCCCAGGGCAGAAAACAAAACAAAACAAAAAAACAAGGTTTAAAATTATTAGATTTTAAAATTTATTCTTAGAAGTGGAAAAGTTTATTAATTAAAAAAAAAGGAGATTAAAAAACCTGATGAACAATAATAGCCGTTCATTGTAGTAGAGTCGGCGATATGGGAGGGGAGTGGACTGACTGTTCTGGGGGCGGGGAAGGGAGGGAGGAAGAGACTGAACATAAACTGTGCACCTGTAGATGAGGACAATAGGGGGTGGGGAGGGGGCGGAGGGTGGGGTGGGAACCAGGTGGAAGGGAGAAGAAATGAGGAACCTTTGTAATAATATGAACAATAAAGATTGATTTAAAAATAAATAAATAAAATAAAGTATCTAAATGCCTCTTGATTTCTAAAATGAAAAAAAATATTTAGTCTTAATTATTGCATTTAAAAATTATATATAAATGCTATTTTTTAAATTCAATATAATAGGAACCATCTGCCAAATATGTCAGTTAGTATGAAGACTCAAATTCAGAATAAGATTGTATTTATATAATTTGATTCAAAATAAGATTGTATTTATATCATTACACATATCATTGAAGATATGCTGTGGCTCTTCCCTTAAGTTTGAAATACTATCAGGTGAAAGAATGCATGGATGCTCATAAATGAAAAGCTTTTGCTATATTTTAATTTTAATAGCTAATGGTGGTTTTTATAGGGTTCTATTATTACTGGAAATATTTTGGTTTTTTGAAATATATTATTTTGCTTAGTTTATAATGTAGACACTTTGTTTTTACAGAAAACACACACAAATAAACACAAATATACACTAAAAGCACTCAACTTTATCGTCACTGATGGTGTTTAGTTAAGGTGGCCAGACATCCCGCTTTTGGCAGGCCAGTCCCGATTTTTAACAATTTGTCCCTTCCTCCCGCGACGTTTTTAAAAAGTCCCGATTTTCTCAAAACAGCAATGCGGTACCATCTCCTGTCAGAATGGCCAACATCAACAAATCAACAAACGACAAGTGTTGGCGAGGTTGCAGAGAAAAAGGAACCCTCGTGCACTGCTGGTGGGAATGCAGACTGGCGCAACCACTGTGGAAAACAGTGTGGAGTTTCCTCAAAAAACTGAAAATGGAACTCCCATTTGACCCAGTAATCCCACTTCTAGGAATATATCCCAAGAAACTAGAAACACCAATCAGAAAGGATATATGCACCCCTATGTTCATAGCAGCACAATCTACAATAGCCAGAATCTGGAAACAGCCTAGGTGCCCGTCAGCTGATGATTGGATCCAAAAACTATGGTACATCTACACAATGGAATACTATGCTGCCATAAAAAGAAGGAATTCTCATCATTTGCAGCAACCTGGATGGAATTGGAGAACATCATACTGAGTGAAATAAGCCAATCAATGAAAGAGAAACACCACATGACCTCACTCATTTGTGGACAATAAAAAACATTATAAACTGATGAACCAAAAGATAGATATAGAGACAGTAAAGCAACAAGCAGATTGTCAAATTACAGTGGGGAGGGGAGGAGGATCTGGGGGAGATAATATACAAGGACTCGTATACATGCATATAAGTACAACCAATGGACACAAAACTCTGGGGAGGGAGGGGATATGTGGGTGGAAGGGAGGGGGGCAAAAAAAATCAAAAAAATATGTAAAAATAAAATAAAATAAAATAAAATAAAATAAAAAGTCCTGATTTTTCCAAAAATGACCATGTCTCCGCTAAGCCCACCAGCCAATCAGAGTGAATCTGCAAATTAACCCATCAAAGATGGCAGGTAAATTTGCATGTGCAGGTGCACCTGGCAGTACCATTGCTTGCCCCTGGGAGTCTGGGTCAATCGGGGGCCAGGGAAGGCAGGTGGGCAGCACCAGAACCACCCACAGGGTCTGGGTCCATCACAGACCATGGGAGGAACAGTGGGCCTGCCTAGCCATGCCCACAGGGCTCTGGGAACATCACTACCCCAGGGAGGAGCAGCCAGCCTGCCTAGTCACTCCAGTGGGTCCCCGGGAACATTTCCGCCCTGTGGAGAAGCAGCTGGGCCTGCTTAGCCATACCTGTGAGGCCCCAGGAACATCACAGATATGGGGTTGCTGAGACCCACACCAGGCCTCTGGCCACAAATTCACAGCTTCTTGGAGACCGACTCTACCTGGCAGCCCGGAGGCCATGTTGCAGGGCTACAGAGTGCCTGTTCAAGATGTGACACAGGAGGTGGGAGGAATTCCAGAGAATGGGATGTGGGGGTTCAAGACTCACTTCTTTTGGGCTTTGTCCTTGGTCTGGGTTCTTTTCTTTTGGTCCTGGAGCCCAAGCACTGCAAGAGAGAGGGATGGATGAAAGCAGAGTTTAGAAGATGCTCGAGGCCTGAATTCGGGCTGCCTGAGGGGCGGCTGCAGGGCGAGTGCCACAGCTTCAGCAAAGTGGCTGGCAGAAAGGCGAGCGTGCTTTCCAAGGCACACTGAGCAGCGCCTCTCATCCCTCTATAAGGACACCCCACAAAGGCGCTGCCTTCGCCAGCAGGCTCTGGGCGACATCCGCAAATGCTACTGCAACCTCTAGCATTCTGGGCAAAGAACTGACCCTGTGCCCCCCTGGGTACCAGGCTTGCCAGGAGTGTGCTGTCACCTATGCCAAAGAACTGACCCTGTGCCCCTCTGGGTACTAGGCTTGCTAGGAGTGTACTGTCACCATGCCAGGCTCGGGCTCGGGCAGGGAACCAGTGGACAGGGATCTGCCTCTCCTGCTGAGAGACAGGTTCTGCAGTGAACCCAAGAAGCAGATGGGCCAGGCCAGGGATCAGGAGCATAGAAGGAATACCAGGGTGGAGGGGCAAGGACCCACAGCCCTGAGATGGAGGTTGAGGGGCCATGCCACCTCAGTGGAGGGGTGCTGCACTGCAAGGTACCAGACTGACTGATGTGATTCAGAGAAGCTCCCAGTGCTCACTGGCCTTGCCCAGGCGACCTTCACACTTCAGAGGCAGCGACCTTTGCTCCTGCCTTGACCCAAAAGCAAGCCTGCACTGCCCTGCTCCATGGCAGAATATGCCTAGGTGGTGAGTGTGGAGCCTATCATATTGCTCCAGAGAAGGGGGGGCAGTAAAGAATGGGGGCACGGGACTGGGGAGAGGAAAGAATGGTGAGCATCAGCAATGAAGAGGTGCTTGAGAAAGCAGGGCTCAGAGGGCTCCCTGTGCACTGAGTCAACTTCCATAGCCAACTGGGATGGGCCTCAGTTTTCTGGTCTGTAAAATGGATTAAGTATCTCCCAGTGCCTCCACTGAGCTTTGATGGCCAATTGAGATACTATATAAAGGAAATGAGGGAAGAAGTGAAAAAGAAAAGGAGAGACGAACAACATAAAAGAAGGACTGGAAGGAACCTGTAAGCCCATTGTCAGTTAAATAGGGAATATCTTCATGTCCACAAATGCTTTCAAGTTACCTATTAGAGTGCGAGGATCTTCTCTAAGTAGAGGAGTTGATTTCCTATTTAATTAAAGTGACATCAATATTTAAATTATCTGTGAATAGAGCAATTGTAATAAATACATTTGTTATAATAAAATATTGTATTGTTTTTTATTTAATTTAGTAGCATATTGCTACTAGACTTTTTAGAGCTAAAAAGAGATTCCTCTGTTTTTTGTTCAGTTATAGGGGGCAGTTTCTCATAGAATTATTTGATTTTTG